TTTAAGGTTTATATTAATTTAGGCTACAGAAACAAGATTAATGGAAGATCCTCACAAAACTTCATTTGGATTAAGCATTTTGCTCAATCAGAAGTAATTAGAAAACTAACCACAATTTTTATTCCAGAGGATACATTAGTTAGAATATCTACAAATTCCTAATCACTTGGGTATTACTTTGCTTATTCCAAAGTAGAACAGAATAATTTAAAATGGTTTTATTCATCATATTCTTCATTAAATCAAATAACAAAATGCATATAAGGAAATATTCAATATACAGATTCTTTTTTTTTAGTACTAAATCCCCCACATGTGATTTCTAAGAGCTGTAGTCATGTACAGAGGAAAATAAGTTAGAATTTTAGAATTTTAAAGGAGAGAGTCAACTCCCTCTCATGCTATCTATATCCACGATGAAGGGATATTGATATCTTTTCCAGGATAAGGCATTCCAGGAAAATCCTCTCTGACATCCTTTACTATTTTAAAGGAAATACTCATTCCTACTTTAATTATAACAGAGGAGCTACATAACTATATATTCTAACAAGATTCTGGGGGAGTGATTTGGTCCTTGAGGCATGTCAGAAAACCAGTAGGCTAAAACTGAGAAAAAATGAGTATCATTTTTTAATAATTCCTCTTTTTTTTTTTTTTAATCAGGTTATTATTTCATTTCACTGCTTTTTTATTTTATTTTAAACTCTATATTTCTTTATTTGAATTATTTTGTAAATTAACTCACATATAATCCAAACCCCTCTGAATTTCAGCCCTACTTGAAACTAACCACTAGTTATAATCCCAATTCTTTCTTTTTTTGTCTCCATTCCTATATTCCTTTGCCCCTTCGCATCAAAGGAGTGGGTATCACTTCGATGTGGCCAAAGTCTAATAAGAATCAGACACAGGAGAAATCCGGGATGGTAATTTATGATTAGATTATGTTTTCAGAAGTACCTGACCACATGTTGTCTTTCTGGACATCTTCACTATTTCCCCAATTGAACTAACGTAAGAGGTTAAGTTTAGCTTTTGATTAGTCGGTGTATCAGAAGTTCTTTCTCCCCAGAAATAGCCTGTTATCCTGTTTGCTTCATCTCACTCACAGTACACTTAAAAACCCCTCAGGTAAAGCCTCAAAGTAGTTTTCCAAACAGCACAAAGTTCTTATAGAGTGCTTACCCGACCAGCACTCTGTTTTCAGCCAGTCATCCCCCAAATGACAAGTTCCTTAATTTCCTTCCTAAACATCCACAAATAGCTGACTGTGGGACCCCCCTCTTGGCTTCTCCGCTGTTTGCCCCTAACTAAAGATTTTGTCTTTCATGCTGAATAATTCCTCATACTCTGCACTCTCTGTTAATTATCTTTTGATTGACTCCTAGTTCTGCCAGCCCCTGTCTCTGTTCAGTCTTTCAGAACTTAACTTCAGCTCATATCAAACTCTTCTTCATTAATGACTATCACTGTCTCATCGCAGATAGCTTCTCAAAACTTTTGACTTCTCAAACTAGATGACGTGTACATGTCTCAAATTAATTTCATTCCCATTTGAGATCTTGTCAAGAGGATACAGCACATTTCTGTGAGTTGCTGTGGCCAAAAGCCATTATTTCAAATGCAAACAGTAATTTGCTTTACTATAGCCTTTAATTAGTATGCAATTAACCTGGATATGTCACCACTACATAGCTATTATTATTAATTATTCTGTGCTAGCCAGGGCAGCTGGTTTTCTCTTATGTTTCCTCAAATAGCACTAACAGTAGACTTCCGAGCACTTCAAAAAGCCAGACTGTGCCCAGATTGTTAATGTTCTCTGACCTTCAGGGAAGCCTAATTAGAATAGTTGGAGAATTTCAAATGGAAATAAAGAGGATAGCAATTTATAATTAAGCTTAAGCATTTGGTTCCAGAAAGAGTTCAAAGGAAGTTAGACTTCCTCGGTGGTTTACCCTGCACTTAACCAAAATGTTTTGTACATTGAAGATAAACCTGTTAGAATATAATATGGAATAAAGAAAATGGAAATCACAGCCATGAAAAGATATACAAACAGAAAATTCTCTATTGCACCAAGGGTCACCTATTCTTTGTCCCTTTTCACCCTAGGTACCTTAAGTTTCACAGGCAAGGTGTTCAGAAGCAAGAGGGGACCAAAAAATGCTTTGATATTGGATCTGTAGTTTGTCTGAGGGGAGAGATTAAGAAAGTATTGTTTGGTTCCATATTTAAATGATCTCACTAATATCTATGCAAGATAAATTTACACAGAATACCAAATCTGTATCTTGATTCAGATGCAGACCTTTGGTCTGAAATTATCATTATGGAAAGTACAAATACTATCACTACTTCCTTAGATATGTTTAATAGGAAATAATGACTCATTGACTATTCAGAATAATTTCACAGAATCATAGAAATATTAAGATTGGAGAATAACTCCAAGACAATTGAGTTCAACCTTCGACTGAACACTGTCCTACAAGTTAACCATGGTACCAAGTGCCATGTCCAGTTGTTTCTTGAACACTTCCAGGGATGGTGACTCCACTACTTCCCTGGGCAACCTGTTCCAATGTTTGACAATCTTTTCAGAGAAGAAGTTCCTCCTGATGTCCAACTTGAATCTGGCATAGCTTGAGGCCATTTCCTCTTGTCCTGTAGCTGGTTGCCTGGGAGAAGAGGCTGACTCCTGCCTTGCTCCAACCTCCTTTCTAGTATTTGTAGAGACCAATAAGGTCTCCCCTCAGCCTTCTTTTCTCCAGGCTAAACAAACTCAGCACCCTCAGCTGCTTCTCGTATGATTCACTGTCCAGACCCTTCATCAGTCTGATTACCCTTCTCTGGACACCCTCCAGCACCACAAATATCTTTCTTGAAGTGAGGGGCCCAGAACAGGACACAGTACTTGATGTATGAACTCACCAGTGCTGAGTACAGAGGGACAATCACTGACCATGACTTCTGATCTGGGTCAGGATGCCATTGGCTTTCTTGGCCACCTGGGCACACTGCTGACTCACATTCAACTGGTTGTTGACCAGTCCCCCCAGGTCCTTTTCCACTGGGCAGCTTTCCAGGCACTCTGCCCTCAGCCTATTACACTGAAGTACAGGGACTGAAGTGCAGGACCTGCAACTTCACCTTGTTTAACTCATACAATTGGCCTCATCCGTTCAATCCAGCCTGCCCAGATCCCTCTGCACAGCCTACCTAACCTTCAGCAGATCAACACCCAACTTGGTGTCATCCACCAATTCATTGTGGGTCCGATCAATCCCCTTGTCCACACCCATTTCCTTACACGATATGTAATTGCACAATAGGAAAATAGTAGAAAAATGGAACTAAGATGCAACTGAGTACAGAGAGGGGAAAACGGTTCTAATGTTGTCCCCATCATTCTCATCCACAGTTAAGGATCTGTCTCAGACCTTTAGCTTTAAGAGTTTCTAGTCAGAGAAAGCACACTGAGACTGTGAGAAGGTGGTAATGCTGTGAACACTGCAGTGTGCAGTGATACCTTAACTTAACTTTACCTGTTAGCTCCTGAGTTGAAAGCATTAAGCTCCACTAGGTTCATGCTGTACCCCCTCTTGCTGATTCTTCTCAGAGGCAGGCACAATTAACCCAGCTTTAACCTCTCTCCTTAGAGAGTCCAACCTCCACACTGCACCACATTGTAGATTCGTGCCCTCTCTCCAGTAGGCAGCTCATCGATGTCTGACACAGCACTGCCTGAGTGAGAAGACATGCTTAGTTGTCATTTGTTACTGTTTCCTGCACACCATTCATTTTTTTCCTCATTTGTCATGTCAGTTAACAGTCTGCAGAGTTTCTTTCATTAGTAATATTTCTTCTCCTTTGTGTAATCTCCAGCACTGGGCTAAGAAGAACGAAAGAAGAAAATCCGTTCCATTGAGCAATGTAACAGTGGCTCCCCTCTCCACACTTTGGAGCACAGACTGATCCAGGTTCTTCTCCTAAGTTAAGGCAGAAAGTGAGAAAAGCAGATTTGCCACTAGGACTGTGCTGGTTCTAAGCCAAACATCTCAGTGCCACAGTGTACAATGATACTCAAAATTTACTGAAACAAAGACTATGAGAAGCAGTCACTAAGCAGTGACTTCAAAACAGTTATTACCACCATAGCAGCTTTGATGCATTGCAGATGGGATATGTGTCTAATCTCTTCATTTCACCTAGAAACAATTGTTTAGATATTCAGTTGTTCTGTTAAAAACTCATAGGCACTACATTTATTAGCTGATTACATTATAATTTTTAGCTCGAAGATGTAGACCTATTTTTCTTTAATCAATAGCAAGAAATGAAGCAGAACTCAGAAAATGCACTAGGAAAATGTTCTGTACTGAAGATAAGTGCTCCTGCAAGGTAGTGTTAATTAATGCTCCTCTCTTTTTTGACCAAGGAGATTGGTAGCTTAAGATGACCCTCTCTAGTTCACATACTTCTTTGAACATGTGTTTCACTTACCCTTTTTATCACCATGAGGATATAGAAAAGGGAGAAAAATTATAACAATCCATTCACTGAGCACCATCTTAAACTACGACAACTCTGTGCTAAGTAGATGTAAGTTAAAGCCCTAAGATATTATCATTTGCAAGCTCTAAACTCCAGGTATTTTGTGTGAAAGAAATTAATGAAAAACCTAACATCTTATGATAACCTGTATGTGTCCTGGCTTCTTTTTTGTTCACATTGCTGTACTGACTTATTTTCTAAGGATTTATTATTGCTTTTCAAGTAAGTTCATGAAGTAGGTTTAAAAAAAAAGGCAGGTTGACACATTTTTTTTTCTATTTTACTTTTTTTTTTCCTAGAGGACTGTACGTCATGAGAAGCTGTTTTTATTTTTTTTATTGTTTATTTATTTATTCTTCTCTGATATATTTCTTTTAATTTGTGTTAATATTCAAACAAAGATTTCATTCAAAACTTGGAAAAAGAATGAAGAAGGGGTTTAAGAATGTCCTTTCAAAGAGTCCGTCTTTTAGCATGAATCTGCAGCAAAAAATATTTAAATGTTTCAATAAAATGTATTTTTTACTTCTGAAAATATCTTTCTCCCAGAATCTCTACAGTTTTTTCCAATTATATTCCAAGGTAATGTTCAGCTTTCAGGATCTGATTTCACATTTTTATGGACATGTTTCTGATAACAGATTCCTGAAGAGAAGCACTGACATTTCACATCAGCGTTGAAATTAGAGGATTTGCTCTTGTGGTTTATGATAAACCTAGCAACAAAACATTTAACTCCATCTAAATCTCTAGAGTGTTGTAGTCTCCTCAGAGACAGAACCATAACCCAAGAGATTCCCTTTTTACAGGAAAAGATAATAAAAAACAGACAAAAAAATCATAATTCTACTTTGACAGGTAATATCACCCTGTCATGATCTTAGGAAGAAGCCTTGAAAATCTGTTTACCCGTGAAGTCACTGTTTTATCTTCTCTGAAAGGGGATTGTCTTCCTGATTTATCTACTAACCTAATGTTCATTAATGACTTAACGGTCAGCAACCAGATAATTCTCATTTCATAAAAAATGCTGAAATGAATATGGGAGGGGAGACATCCTGAGAAAAGTGCATTCTCAAGTACAAAATAATTTGCTGGTGCTGGAGAATAAAATGTGGTCTTACCTACAGAGTTGGCCATAGGTTCACTTTCAAAAAGCCCAATATGGTGAGAGACTTAATCTGTTTCTTGGGATTTACTTCTTTTGATTTTACCAGCTCTACACTTAAGTGTTTGTAACTATGCAAAATTTGCTGTTGCAACCATGAAATAGCAATGTTTTTACCTTAAATTTGACTCATCTTCAACCCATTCCATTTCTATCCCATTTAGAGCATGGATTCTGGACCCAGGAACTGCTTCTTAATCTCTTCTTTGTTCACAGAATCTTATTGAAAGAAATCAATGAAAGGGAATGGTGGGTGACTGTCATTAAGTCACTTCATGCTAGAAAGGTTTCTATGGCCTCCTGTCCCATATCTGTGCTACTGCTCCTTGGAAATGTATTCACTTCCTTAGAATTCCTTTCTTCAAAAAAGTTGATTGTATTTATTTATTTGTTATATTATTGATGTGTAGTCAGAATATTAGCTGACAGTATCTATCTATGCAGGAATACAAGAACCAGTACAAATCTAGAATAACCGTACATGCTTAGTCATTTCCTGATGTATTTCTCATTTATTCATAATTCTAATGGAGCTTCATCTCAAACTTCAGTATGGAATGGATCAAATTCTGAACCTGATATCTATAATAGTTTGGAAAAATATGCTTTGAAACCCAACCCACATACAACTCCATTGCTCACTTTGGACCTGAAAATTTATACCAGCTACAAAAAGTCTAATTTTTAGATACTATTAGCCAATGATTTATGAGACACAGAACCAGTAGTATCATTAAGAGTTGTAAAAAAGAAGGGAAAATGACATTCTCTTTTCTAATTCTGATTTAGGCATTAATAAAGTGGGTGATATCTCTGTTTCCCTCACTGGCTACTATATTTCTAGTTCAACTCTTTATGATTTAGCTACATGAGGATAATGTACTTTTCTTTATTCGAGCTGCTATAATATTAGAAACACAGTTGGAAATATTCTTACATAAATATGCATATAGTCCCTTCCTTGCATATTAGAATAACATCCATGAAAATGGTAGAAAGCTTCTACTGTTCTGTTAACTGGAGCCAGAATTTGTATTAAAAATTATTTAAAACATATTTGACTGACAAGTAATACATTCTAAATGACTGCTGATATTTTTGACAGACATACCTAATTACCGTTAATTAGTTCAGAATTAATTATAAAATTACATGTTTACATTGATTAGTATGCATCAAAGTGTAAATGGTCATTCTGAGGACACAATTTATAGTTCCACAAATAGGAAAACACACAGACAAATCTGGTATTGCATAAGAAAAGTCTCTGAACAGAAGTGTTTCTGCATCTAATGATACACTCCACATGGCTTGATGAAATAGGGCAGTATTTGCAACAAACTAGAAGCAACTAAAACAGCAGTAGTTGGAGTTCTTCTGCTATAAGACTGAGCGGTTTTGTCAGCTTTTCATGAATTAGCCATCATAATTAATATTTCTATATTTTCTTTGAGAAATGAGTAACAAATTTCCATAAAATTATTTTGTAAAAAAATCTCAGTTTATCTTGGTAGTTTTTCCTTCTTTTTTTTTTCCTTCCCCTAGAAAAAAATACAAAGCTTCCCTTTAAGCAAGAGAAAGATTTCAGTGAGGATAAAATAATGAATATCTGTGTGCAGCTGCATATACTCAGATAAATTAAAAATATGCATGAGGCAGTATATTCAGCTACACTGAACAGCTAGAATACATGAGGAAAAAAAAAAATCCCATATGCTCCCACATTCTTTTCTTTGTGTTAACACAAGAGGTTATACCAATGATCGAGCTAAAACCCAGCATGCTTCCTGTCTGTGATCTTCATGTCCCATTTCAAGTTACAGAACTGTGTGATGCACCCACAGCACTGTGAGAATTGTTCAAGGCTCAGTTGCCTTTTAGTATTGCTGGAATTGCAGTAAAGGGTTGAGGAAAAGGCCATGGCTGCATAAAAAAGAGCAAATAAATGTCGTTCAATTACAAGCAACTATGTACTATATTTTGCATCTTTACTCCTCAAAGCATATTCTGGTGCTCATGTGAAGCCTCCAAATGAACATAGACTAATATTCATGCAGCACCTTCTTGAATCCAGTAAAACGTACCCAGAAGGTTGTTTTTACCCTGCATTCAAAACATTAGAAATGTATCTATTAGAAAATTTATCTTTTGACTTAGTTAAAAGATTTTGAAATTGATGAAAATGATACTGCATTATGAAAATGCAGCACAGAATGCTATTTGACATATCAGTGACATGCAATGTCTTTCAAAAGGTAAAGTCTGACAGAGCTCTTCTACTAACAGTTGTGAGTTTGATCAATTCAAAACAAAATGCTATTTTTCCTATAGGGGTATGGCTTTTGGGTTCTCTTAGTTGCTCAGTAAAAATTGAAACCTTCCCATAGAATGAAATGGTTTAAAAGAAAGAACTGGTAGAAATAAATCCATTCCCTGCAAGTTTCTTGCCTGAAGGCAGAGATTCTTGGACAAAATCCCCTACCTTTTTTATTCTAACTAGTGAATTTAATGTTCTAACATAGTTTCGAGTTTACACTGGATTGAAGGTGATGCTTATTAGCAAAAGCACGTGTGATTACACAGTTTTATAGTTTTACAGAAGCTTTATTCAAACATCACCTAATTGGTGTCTCTAACCTTAAAATATTCTGTTGTCTGGAGCACTCTATAGAGTCCTATTGGTTGCATTACAGCTACACTACAGGTGTATATGACCTGGGTTTTCCTATAATCAAAAGAATTATAAAGGAGTAACATACTGACTCTTTTCAACTAGGCACATCTGACTGTTATTAGTTAAAGTAAAAATCTTGCTTCCTAGGCAGATACTATACATTAAAAACAAACAAACACACGCAAAGCATACCCCACCAAGACAAAAAACAAACAAACATAAAACCCAACCAAAAGAGTAAAATATCTTTTCTAATTCTTATGTATGTTCTATGGGGGGGATTTTCTCAGCTACATGCAGATTATGTGGTTGAATGAATAGTGTCTAATCATAATTGATACTTAACAGCTTACTTTGCCATGAGTTAATGCCCAAATTCATCACATATCTAAACCATGTTATTGACAGAGTAAAGGGGGAGACAACAGATCTTTACCTCACCTCCTTATGAGATACTCAGGAAGCACAGCGTAGGCATATCCTGGGACTTCATGTTTTTTAAACTGCATTTAAATGCATTTGAAATTATTAGTATAATGTGAGCCAGACCAGCCATTGATAGAGAGGATGAAAAGAAAATTTGAAGTTCTACATACCTAAAAGCATATGTAGGATAACACACCATATTTGTTTACACCAGTTCTTCTTTCAAGGTTTCATTTGAGATGCAAGGTTAGCCTGGAACAAATACGTATACATGAATAAAACTGTACCTTTAATTCAAATTAAAATATGTTCTTTCTGCATTTCAACCACTGCAGAGCCAGCCAGAAAATGAAAGTGATTGGAAAAAGACTTGAAACAAAAATGAAGTTGACTAGCCTATTTTCATGGAACATGGTGTCTTTTTACCTTTCTGCATTACCAGTCAAAACTGATTTCATTAGTGAATCATTTTCTAAAATCTAAAGTAGTATTATAGAATAGTTTATTCTATGTGCATGTAAAGCTTGCAACATCTTCCAAAAAAAAGGAACAATCAATCATGTAAGATTACCTTCTCCTCAGAGTACTTTTATTTCTCAATCTGTTTGTTTCTATACATCATTTTATTTTTTATGTATATATTTCATTCTCTTGCTGTAAACATTGCCCCACAGTTGGATACACAAAATTAAATCATTTAATGGATTTGTGGTTCAGTTGATTGAGGTCCCTGGGTCTCTGCACTCCTGGTAACCATCTTATTTGGTCTGTTACTGTCATTCACTGTCATTTCCACTTGGCTGGTGCCTGTGACAGGTCAGATTACGGGATGTGATCAAAATATGATATCAAAGAGAGGACTGTGATTCTGATACTTATGGGTAGTGTACCTCTTGCTAAAGATATCTGAGGAAATCTTGCTAAATGCAGTTTCCTCAGGGTGTTTGGGGAGTCAGTGAAAGAATTGATGCTAAATAGAAGGACCATCTGTATACATTTACTGATATGCCGATGCTTTCTGAAATACGGTTCCTTTACACAAGTATTGTTAAAGGCAGGAGTTACTTTACTGATGCAGTATTCTTTTAAAATAAGTAGTATTTTAAAACAAGTTGAGTAACTTTTCATCTATCTTTTGTACATTTACTTTTGTGTGTTCTGTTCTGTTTATCTAAACAATTTCAGGTTTTGGAGTGTTAGATTAGTTGTGCGGTCTTTCTCTACTTTCCCTACCAGAACTTCTCCATTTTCTTACACAAGAGCTGCAAAATTTAGAGAATATGCCAGGGTTTGGGATTTTTTTTTTTTTTTTCCATAACAGCTTAGTAAAATAGCTCAAAATATTTAATGTGTGTGCTATTAAAGAACTTGACAGATTGTGGAAGAAGTTGGAACAAATCAGTGTTAGTAACTCTGATTTAGAGAGAGATACTGCAGCATCTTCAGCAACTGCAGTCAGTACATTACTGTGACTCTAAGCAGCTTTTATAAAAGGAAAATAAAAATATGTTGGTGTTGTAATAATAAAAGAAAAGTCTAGTTCTGAATAAAACTAGAATTGCAAATAAAAATGGTGACATCTCAAGGGATCAGTACTAATCTGAATTTTTTTTTCTTTAGTAAAACTTATGAAAAAAAGAGTATATGTATTTCTGTAAAAAATATCTCTGAGTTGCTGTGGGATTTTGTAGTTCATTTTATCCAAAGTGTAAAGCCAAATGTATTGGAAATGCGGCATAAAATATAAATGTGAAATTCACATTTCACATAAAATATGAAATGAGATGAAGTTAACCAATCTGTCTTTGCTGTCAGAGTAAAGATAATAAATAATCTAGCTTGTCACTACTATAAGGGAAGTAATGTAGATCACATAGCATTAAAAATGGTTAAAATCATAACATATATGTAGTAGGACATCTTCTACAAATGAACAAACCTGACTCCTAGAAGTTCTATCTTCTCCATTCCAAGTAGTTTTTTGGGTTGTTGTTGGGGTTTTTTTGGGTTTTTTTTGGTTTTGGGGTTTTTTTGTAATCTAGAACTGCTTCATATGTTATAAGAAAGAATTTTTCTATCTGCAGTTTTGTAAGGAAGAGCATGACTGTACATTCCTTTTTCAAGAACTTAAGAGTGCATACTTCTGACCACAGAAGTTGTAACTTGTACTGTTTTCACATCAAGAAGGAATGTGGTTAAAATAAAATGGGTTTTCTTTTACATTCACATGTGGTTAATATGGTTTCTAAAACTATTTCTGTGCTCTCCTTGTTCAATTATAATGTATACAATATCAAAATATCATTCCATTAAATAGTTAAATTTCTTCTGCTAAAGAATTTTTTTGGAAAGTCTAAAATGCACTGCAGAGGACATACAGAGATGTATTTTCCATTATAAACAACAAGTTTTTTCTGAGAAATGTTTCAGGGAAACTTCAGCTTATTTGATTTCAAAACTCTAAATGCTCCAGAAAAATGGGTACCTCATGGCACTGGAGCCTAAGTCTATCAAAAAGCCTCATCTCTGATGCAGGTTTCTGCTATCTGATGGTTTGAGCTCAGAAAAGTAAAGAGTGAGCCATGAAACTAAAAGAAATTGATGTAGCTGATGAATTATATATGAATACTAAAATACTGTGAAGAAAAATATTCTAAAGACATTTGTAAAGACTAATTTGAAAAGAACAATAATAAAAGTTGGGGTTTTTTACTTGTATAGACTCAATATGAAGTTTCTAAATATTTCTTATACACAATGTTTCTCCTCTTGTGCCCATTACTCTACATGTCTTTTTCTAGACATAGAAGTCCAGAATTTTCTTTCTATTTTGCTCATGTCTACCCTAGCCTCATGGAATCATACTGAGCTCTGGAGAATATGAATGTCTTAGCAGATCCTTCTGCCTTAGAAAAGAGATACCAATGAATATCTCTGAAACTCTATTAATATGATTTCTTTCATCTGTGACCTGGCAGTGTGAAGAGAATGTAAAGGAGTGGAGCTGGTTCCATTGACAAACTTCTATACATTATTGAATTCTCCTCGCACATAGAGTCAAAATTTAGAATGGGTAACTGATAGACCCTGATGGAAAACCTATGACACATGAAATTCTCTAAGGTATGTATTGGAAACCTTCAACTTTCCTGTACTTTTACCACAGAAGGCCCACCACAATCTCTTTGCTCCCCTTGGAACTGGAGGGCTTAGGGAAAGGGGGTATCGTGCCTTTACATGCTGTCTTCATCTCTCACAAACCTTTCTACAGCTAGCAATAGAAACACAATAGTGTATTGGAAGATTCTGGAGGAAGGCAGGAGGGAGAAGGTTTCTTCACACACCAAATGGAGATCATTCTTTTAGGTGTCAGGTATGAATTAATGAATTTTTCAAAGTAAAAAGATTTGGGTAGATGATGCTGTTATTTTCTCATGTCACCTGACTACATAAAGCTTTTCACCTGCATTTCATGTAATATAATATGATGAGTTTCAGCAGAAATTCAAATTATAATCATATTAACTCCCTTGTGGTATGGTACATCATGTAAGTCTGAAAACATGTGTTGGCATTAATAAACAGCAAATTGATACCTGCAAGAAGACAGTAATTTCATTATTAGTAGGTTCTTTGCTAAGGGACAAAATCCACTTTCTGCTTTCTTACCTTGTATTAAAGATGTAACAGAATTGTATTTTTACAATTATTGTACCTAGAGAAAATTAATGTCTTCTCTGCTGAAAAATTAAAACCTTATATTTTTCCTCTTCTAAATCTTGCAGGAATATTTTATCAATGACTTCAAAGAGGGTAAAAGAATTATTATGATTAGACAGTTTATGCTACATGAATGCTCAGAACTGAAGAAAGATATAAGTTATTTATTCAGTTACTTTCTGTCTAACAGAATCAGGACTTTATATGCTGCATAATTTATAACTTAGTAGGAAAAAACATGTTAAAAGCTTGCTAAAATTATTATTCTCTCCCATAAATGAAAGTTTAAATTAAGAATGCCACTGCAAACCTTACTCTGTTCATCTAAGCATATACCTTCCAGACCCTCATCCAAAAGGACCCTTTTTTTTTTAAAATGAATGAGAATACTCTTTTAATTTTTTTTTTTCTGGAGTTTATGTCCCTGCTTAAGTGCTTTGATAGATCAGACCCTATAGAAGGATTTAGTAATTTTAGGATTAGCACTGTAAGTTTTAGGAGGTCTTACAATGACTCAGGTCATTTAAAAAAAATCTTCTGGATTCTGCTGTAAATTTTACTTGTTGAGGGGCAGATTTCCATTCTGGAAATGGAACGGCATCATCAGCCTGTGAAAGACACTGCATTAGATACATTGTAAGAATAAGTGCTTGCTCTTTCTCCCTTAATGACAGTTGAAAGAAGAGACGCTGGTGGGGAGAAGAGCTCTGCACCTGCCTGAACTAGGAAATAAACAGATCCCAATATTGGAACTTCACTGTGTTCATTGAGAAGCTCTTAAATCTGTCCTACAGCCTAACAAGCTAACACTCTCCCAAACCAGCACCACTCTGGAGTCAGTATGGCAAGGTGACTGTCCTTAGCAGATAATTTGCATTCAGCCATCTGTTTTCCATGTTAATGGCATGTGTGTATAGTGTCTTATGCCAATTGTCCTCAGTGCTAACAAATGGTCTCAGGAACATTTAATTTACTTCTATGGGTGTAGCTTCCAATCCTCATATATAACATGCCTGGATTTAGTTTAATGTTAAAAGGCAGAAAATCTTTTCCTAAATTTATTTACTAATTTACAGAAAGCTGCTTGTAAGTTTCTAGGACTGAGAAAGTATTGTTACAAATGCTAAATATCCCTCACACAGAGAAGTATAAACAGACCAAGGCAACTGTTCATTTGCTAATCAGCCACATTTGACATGTGGTGCTCTTTAGTTTTGTTTATGTATTGGCTATTTTCTACCATTTCCTATGAGTTTTCTGCAGACTGTAAAAGTAAAATGTGCAAACTGTAGAATTTAAAACATTTTATATTTTTCTTATTGGCCCACAAATGCAATGCAAGAACACCTCTGTAACAGAATCACAGAATCACAGAATTATAGAATGTCTTGGGTTGGAATGGAATGGACCTTAAAGTTCCAACTCTCCTGCTGTGGGCAGGGATATTTTGACAAGACCATATTACTCAGAGTTCTATCCAACATGGTCTTCAACACTTCCAGGGTTGGGAACATTCACAACTTCTCTGGGTAACCTGTTCCAGTGCCTCAACACACCCACAGTAAAGACTTTCTTCCTAAAATCTAATCTAAACCTACTCTCTTTCAGTTTGAAGCCATTCCCCAGTACTGTCACTGCATACTCTTGTAAATAGTTGCTTGCGAATAACCTGTGGTACCTCAAGTCTTTTATAAATTTTTATAGAACTTCATAGTAACAGATAGTTATTTAGTGAATAATAGAACCTTCCCATCATTTAGCCCTTGACTTGCTCTTACTAATTGTCCAGAGTCACTTTATTTGAGACCTACTGGTGTGAGGTGATACTTAGCTTTCTACTTTCTCACTATGAAGAGATCTGTACACCTAGGCACAGTTTACATGCATTTGGAGCTTCATAAGTAGACAGACATAGGTTTAACTTAAGTAAAAGTCATATTGTGTGATTTTCTTTCCATGGTAATAGATGGAAGAGAAAAATTATGTCAACATCTCTATCCACCATCTGCCAGTCTCCATTTATAAGCAGCTGACGTGAGAAGGCACAAAGATTGCACAGTGACGTAGTAATGATGTCTCCAGCTTCTTTTTTGGACAACACACTTAAACATTTCTGATAAACTTTTGTTTTCTCCTTCTCTCTCTGTTATAGTTTAGTATTCAGCTGCCTTCACTATCTTCCAGGCATATAACTTTACTGCAATGTCAGATTTTTACTTTTCTTTTGCTTCAGAATAAACAGTACCTTCCCTTCTTTGTAACATTTCCACTTTGAAAACTGTACTAAATTTGTAACGCTCTTTAAATTCATCAAGAGTAAGTTATCATATGAGAAAACAACTATTTTTGCAGTTCTTCCATTCAATTTTCTTTTGATTGTATAAGTAGTAGTCATTGTTCTTTGAGACTGTTCAGCATATCAGAGATAATAATATTTGCTTGAGTTTTTATACCCAATTAAGTTTTACTTTTTGGCAGTATTTCATAGAATCTCTGGTTCATTTCTCTTAATGTGGCAGCTGGCAGAACATGGGAAAATTCTATAGCCTTTTGTTCTGTCCCTCTAACAATTTTTATATCTAAGGAAAAGAATTCCCTTGGTTCTGCTTTTACACATTTTTCTTAGTAGATAATATCTTGTACAAAAACAGAATTGTTCTTGGACACTGATACTTGTCAATGTATGATCATTACTTTGGAAATGAAAATTATTACTGTATATAATACAATGGTCCGTACAAAAATGCAGTTTTCCTAGAAATATGTTTTTATTTATTTCAAACATGAAATATATTTCTAAAATTATCATTAAATGCATCATCAAATAGATCTTCCTGATACTGCATCTCAGAATTTCTTGAAGTATAAGAGGATCCCTTTGACAAGTCCACTTATATGTCTGTTACTGTATCACATCAGCAGAAATCTATCATGGAAATGAAAAGTTCACCTCTCATGTAACTTAATTTGGAAAAATGAATTGAAAGTGGGGACTCCTCCTTCTCTGAGGAGTCCAACAAGCATCAGTTCTTGCCCTCTCAGTTAACTAATTTCAACTTTTAGGTAGATAAGCAAAGTTTTCAAAATGTTACTGTGGCTATTATGTACATGATAGAGTAAATCAGAAATCTTAGAACAGGAAGTACATAAACACTAGTTTTATTCTAGAGATGGTAAAATACACACCTGTTGAAATCTTTAATGAGTGCCTCGATTCTGACAAAAATCTCAATTTATTCCTCCAGTTAAAAAATAAAAGCTAGCAAGGACAGGGAAAAGAATTCATCTAAAAGGAAGTAAGTAAAATATTAGGAAATTTAAAGAAAATCTGGGAAAGTGGGGTTGAGGTGGGATAAAATGTATTTTAGAACATCTAGAGATAACCATCAAAGTTAGCACTGTGACTTTGTAACTCAGAGGTTTTTCAGACAGACTTTCATAATACAAACATCACACACAGACTTTAATGTGCGCTGGAAAACTAATATGTCTCGCAGATTCATAATATAATAAAGGACTAGCCTATTGAATCATGTGTTATTTATTGTTCTCTGAGAAAGGAGCAGGGATTTTTTTGTATTACTTCCATAATGTGTTTTTCCAATAACCCTATAATGTTCTGTAGTGAGAATTTTTAACTTTGAAATTGCTCTAACTTTCCATTTGTACCAAAACTTCAGCAGAAGCTTGTCTTCCTTCTAGAGTATGCTCTAACTGTAGGTGAAAAGGCAATGAAAGCACATAACAGCTATGACAGGAATGCAGTCACGTGCAAGCCCTGATCATGTGTAGTCACCTGTGGATTAGAGATCCTGTTCATTTGATCACACTTATCCCTTACTCCTTCCATTATTTGAGATACTAATGAATAAGTAAGCCATGCTGCTGGCCTAAGGAGTAGAGAGAAGTAAAAGGAATGAAAGCATTCATTCCTCTCATTCCCTGTTTCCCTTTCCTCCCTTGCCAAAATACCCATAGACAGAGGTAAGTGTAAGTGACTAGACTTCTCCTGCTCATTTTTGTGGCCACTTATGCCCCTCACCAAGAAGTGAAGATATGACTTTGGGTTTGTAAATTTCTTTAGTATACTTTCAAAAGTATGGTACTCAGGAAGAGTTTAGGAATATAGTTAGGTCATGTAGAAAGAAAATTAGAGAGACGAAGGCACAACTTGAACTTAATCTTACCACTTCTGTGAAGGATAACAAAAAGTCCTTCTACAGATCCATCAATAGCAAAAGGAGTGACAAGAAAAACCTCCATTCTTTATTGGACATGGGTGGGAATATAGTTATCAAAGATGAGGAAAAGGCTGAGGTATTTAACACCTTCTTTACCTCGGTTTTCAACAGTAAGATAGGTTGCCCTGAGGACAGCTGGCTTCTGGAGTTTGTAGACAGAGATAAGAAGCTGAACAACCCCTCTGTAATCCATGACGAAACAGTGACCTGCTGAGACACTTGGGTCTCCACAAGTCTATGGGACCAGATGGGATCCACCCAAGGGTGATGAGGGAGCTGGCAGAAGAGCTCGCCAAGCCGCTCTGCATCATCTACCAACAGTCCTGGCTCACTGGGGAGGTCTCAGATGATTGGAAGGTGGCAAATATCACGCCCATCCACAAAAAGTACTGCAAGGAGGACCCAGGAAGCTACAGGCCTGTCAACCTGACCTCAGTGCCTGACAAGGTTATGGAGCAGATCATCCTAAGTGCAATGACACAGTAGCTACAGGATGGACAAGAGATCAGACCCAGTCAACATGGGTTTAGGAAGGGCAGGTCCTGTCTGACCAACCTGATCTCCTTTCATGATCAGGTGACCCGCCTGGTGGATGAGGGGAAGGCTGTGGATGTGGTCTACCTAGACTTCAGCAAAGCCTTTGACACTGCCTCCCACAGCACACTCCTGAAAAAACTGGCAGTCCACAGCTTGGACAGGGTTGAGAATGGACTGGATGGTCAGGCCCAGAGAGTGGTGGTGAATGGTGTTGCATCCAGTTGGCAGCCGGTCATTAGTGGTGTCCCCCAGGGATCAGTGTTGGGCCTAGTTCTGTTTAATATCTTTATTGATGATTTAGATGAGGGGATTGAGTATATCATTAGTAAATTTGCAGATGACACTAAGTTGGGGGGAGTGTTGATCAGCTGGAAGGCAGGAGGGCTCTGCAGGGGGACCTGGACAGACTGGAGAGTTGGGCTGATTCCAGCACAATGAAGTTCAACAAGACCAAGTGCAGGGTCCTACACTTTGGCCACAACAACCCCACACAGCGCTACAGGCTGGGGACAGAGTGGCTGGAGAGCAGTCAGACAGAGAGGGACCTGGGAATTTGGATTGACAGGAAGCTGAACATGAGCCAGCAGTGTACCCAGGTGGCCAAGAAGGCCAATGGTATCCTGGCCTGAATCAGGAACAGTGTGGCCAACAGGACCAGGGAAGTGATTCTTCCCCTGTACTCAGTGCTGGTGAGGCCACAGCTTGAGTGCTTTGTCCTGTTGTGGGTCCCTCAGTTCAGGAAGGATATTGAGGTACTGGAGCAGGTCCAGAGAAGAGCAACAAGGCTGGTGAAGGGACTCGAGTACAAGTCCTATGAGGAGAGGCTGAGGGAACTGGAGTTGTTTAGCCTGGAGAAGAGGAGACTTAAGGGAGACCTCATCTGTACAACTCCCTGAAAAGAAGGTTGTAGACAGGTGGGGGTTGGTCTCTTATCCCAGACAGCTATCAGTAAGACAAGAGGGTATGGTCTTAAGCTCTGCCAGGGGAGGTTTAGGTTGGATATTAGGAAGAAATTTTTTACAGAGAGGGTAATCCGGCATTGGAATGGGCTGCCCAGGGAAGCGGTGGATTCTCTGTCCCTGGAGGTTTTTAAAATGAGACTGGATGTGGCACTTAGTGCAGTGATCTAGTAACCATGGTGGTAGTGGATCAAGGGTTGGACTTGATTATCTCAGAGGTCCCTTCCAACCTGGTTGATTCTATGATTCTATGATTCTATGAAAAGCAGTTGTTCATATTTCATACACTCAGTATATCATAGAAATGTAACCTGCAAGGATCTTTTTAGTCCTTTCCTACTCAGAGACATGTAATGTCATTACATATTCAGAGTGTAAATCATCAATAAAAATCTGCATGTTTAAAAAATAGGTGACAGCATGAATTTTCTTCATTTTTTTTTCCTACCATTGCCACTGCAAAATAATTTCAGCACTTATATTCTGCAGCTCAGATATAGGGCCAGTGACATTTAGCAAAACATAGCAGATTCGATAGAATTTTGCAGATTTACCAGTATGTTGTAACTTTACAGTTAAAATCTGAACTATAAAAAAATATAAAAATTGTTACTATTTTCTAGTATTTTTCTTATTTCTTTTTCTGTAATTTTATTTCTGCTTCAGTATTACAACAGAAATACCACATTATGCAAAAAACAAACTTGAATCCTCTCAAATCCCTTGCAAAAACAATGCTAAATAATCAATTTATTTCTAACATTTAAGTGCCATCCTAAATTCTAGTTCAAGCACAACTGCTTTTTTCTACTGAAAAATACAGACTCAAATGTTCACAAAAGGACATAATTTATCTTAATGATGGCATACTTGATGCATTACTGTACAGCACATGGGGGGCAGCAGTCCCACTGCTACCTGATATATAACTTCAGAGTCACAAGGAATGCAGACCCTGAAAGCTAGAGAACGACAGATAACAGGACAGGAAATATTTCACAGGTCAGTGTCAATAAACTGACGCTATCATATGTCTGAAACATGGAACTCCAGGTAGAACCATAATAAAGAGCATATAAAGCTGTACTTTCATTACTGAGCACACAAAAGGGAAAACTAAAGCAATGTCAGCTAGATGTATTAAGTGAATAACTGTCTTTTAATTATATTTTTTTACTAAAAGTAGAGATGTTATGTAGGAAAAAAGAATGAAACTACAGCACATGGAGGGGGAAGAGAATAAGATACACCCAGCTGGCATAAAAGGACTTAAATGAAATTAAGTTGCCTGAACAGCAGGAAACACAATTTGTGCCAGAAATTTTCAGACTGATCTCATCTGTCTCTCGAACAAGGCTATCAATCATTGTCTCATCCCTGTCTTCAGCATGGTTTTTCTTACCTCCAACTGGCTTTACTTCAGCAGCGGAGTCATGTTAGCTGAAATACACTGGTTTTCTTTCCTCATCTTTTGTACTTCAGAATGTCAACTATTTTTGCCAATCCTGAAAAGGTATTATTCTGCCTATATAACTGAGCAATAAACAGATCACAGGTAGGACTGGACTCTATGATGGCCACAGACTTTGACTGACATCCATGAAATCTGGATTTTATTCTTACCTCTGCAGTGGACATTGAAAAATCCATTCTTCTGTGCTTAACTTTCCTCTATATGCAAGATCTCCACTTATACGCTGAAGCCTTCCTTATTGATCATGAATTTCTCTCTCACAATCTATATCTTTTGTATGTATTCATACATGTAATACTTATAAAAGTCAAAGGCTTAATCTTCCATGCCATGTATTTTAGATGTCTGTAATCCGGGAAGAGGCAAAGGATACTTCTTCAGAGAAAGAATCAAACATTTCATTACTGTGCATGCACATAAAATATGCAATTGCAGGAGTGTTCTCTGTTCAGGATTTTAAATTATTAAGACATAATACAGGAGTTAACATCAGGGAACACTGAAAGCTTTCTAATCTGTAAGGGAAAACAAACTAGGAGCTAAGGGTGGCAGAAAGGAAGGCAGAGCAGTGATCTCACTGACAAGGGCACAGCAGCAAAGTAGCCAGATGAGAGGAGTAGAGCAGTATCCAGGGTCAGCTATCTGGTTGGGGATTGCCAGGCAAATCCACAATGATGATGTAAATCTGAAGTCAAGTGGGGATGCTGCAGGTCAGTGTCCTAGTCCAGATCAGCAAGGTACATAGATGGCAAGCAGAGACATGGATGCAGTGTAACTTAAACAGGGACCAGAACTGAGTGGCTTAGGATAAACACAGCTCCTGAATAAAAGGGACCCAAGTTCCCCTTCCGGGCTCCTCTAACAGCCCTGTGTCAAATAGCATCAAGGCCAGGTAGCTGCTCTATTACAGATGACCTTGAGCCCTCACTACCAAGTCTCCAGGATGATGGCAGAATTCAGTCAGGGCTTGGGCACTTAGTGGGTTAATAATGTGGTTAAAACCTACTTGAATTTGTCTCTGGAATATGTGTCATTGCATAAGTATGTGATAAATTGTATTGAACTTGCATAGAAAGATTTAGATAAACATTACTCAAGTTACTACTAAAAAGAATGGCAGTTTGACTTCTCTGTTTCTCTTTGAAGTACTCTTATACCTGTTAAATTTTCATAGAATTCTTTGTGACAAAAGTGGCAAACACCAAAACCTTCAAGATATTTTTTCATCAGATACACTTTTCAGAAAAAGATCTATTGATTCATAACCAGTAATGACTCAAACCCAGAAGTCATTAGTAAATCAATTCAGGAAGATTACCTTTGACTTTAATAGTAATTCCACGCATGAGTGGTCTAAATGATCAGTCTGGTAAGATACTATGTTTGCTTACCATTTAGAAATTACTATATGACTATGAAATAGCTCCAAAAGCTTCCTGCTGCTATGTCTAATAATTTAGTGGCTCTGATTAGACCACATGAATTTCTGGATTCTAAATTGCTATGTGTTTTGCTATGACTTAGGCCTTTCAAAACTAATCCTCTTAAATTCAAAACATGGATGACATTGATACATCATTTTTCAACTTGGTAGATTTTCTTAAAACTGTGCTTCATCAGAGATCTGGGACAGCAGAACATTGATAACAGCAATGCTGCAAAAGAACACATATTGCCTTGCAGAAAGCACTTTCACTGTGCTTTGTTAGGTGATAACATTTGAGCTGAGGTAGGAATATTGTGAAATTGCCTGCTTTGTATGTATAGTAGCTACTTCCAAATGCAATTTTATCATCACTACATGATGTCGGTAACTCCTTTTGGAAAGTTGGAACTACCCACTAGATCTTTCTTTCAAGTCTCAGATATCAGAACAATGACACCACAGCAACGTACATCACGGAAAATAGTACAAGTGAGTGTATCTTTCAGACCGATAGTCAGAAATTAATAAATAAAGAAACATTCAATATTATTGATGGGACATCTCAAACAAAGAGCGTGGAAGCTGTTCTTTTCTGATGTCAGTGGCTTATGATGATTATTGTCTTACCTTTTTGATTTAAGGAAGACTATACCACTAATGCATTTTTCAGAACCTTTTTAATATTTGATCAAGGATAAAGTAGATTATACATCAAACTTACTTGGAATAGTGCAGTAAGATGCAAATTCTGAATAGAAATTCAGTGAAAACTTTGACTGCTATTAAAAGAGAGATTACAATCATAATGATCCATCAGATTTCCACTATTATTAGGAAAAAGTAGACTACATGTATACCTGTTTTATGGGACTCTAATTAAGATTTCATCAAATATGAATAGAGAGATGTCAAAAAAAATCCTATTTTCTCCTCATCTACTCCATGCATTGCCAGGGCTGCAAAGAAAGTGGACAGGATCTAACACAGAATTCCAGTTTATGTCAAGAACAAAAACATGACTAAACAAATGTTAAATATGTTTTAATGACTGAGAGTGCACTGCAGGATCACATTAGTATTATCTATTTGGTATGGCTTCTGTGAGGGAAGAGAATAGCTTTCACCAGCTTGAACTGTGAAAAAACATACCAGTAATAGTTAAATTAAATTGTTTTTTAGATGAAGTGTATCATTTAAGTGTAAACTGTCATTGTTATGGTCATGTGAGATAGCAGAATTAAATTCATTCTCCGTATATACATTTCTCATGCCCAGTGGTTCCACAAATGCTGCCATTTCAGGTCTGTGTTTTTCAAATTTTGCCTATTAAAATTGCTTCCTCGTACACTGTAGACAAGCAAGAAACATTCATCCATAGGTATCGTAGCCAAACTTAACCAATGCATGCACATCTGTTTAGATGCAAATCACTGTTTTTTATATTGTAAGTAAACCGCATAATTTTTAAAGGTATCAACCAACCTTATTATACAGTAAAGTATCTTGAAAGATGTTTGTGACTCCTGCAAAGTACAACTAATATTTTTCTGTAGCTTACGTTTTATCCATGGTTATGGTAAAATGGTAAAACATTAATGTTAGAATTCCTCTTTTGATATTTTCTCACTTAAGAATGTATGCGGTTTCTTGTTTCCCCCTTGAGCACCACATTGTTTTCTGTTGTTATTTTTGCATGATAAAATGAAGACATAGACCTACTACAGGACTGTGTCAGGAATCTCACTGACAACTCAATTTACAGTGCCATAACAATCAAATAGAAAGAATAAAAATATTGAATAAAAAATGTCCAAGGAGATTACCAATACTGAAACTCTTTATGCTTATGCAATATAAAACCTCACTAAGACCGAGTTGCTCATATTACATATTTAAATAACTGAATTGTATTTCTTAAGAGGAATGTAATGTAAAGTAAGCATTTAAAATAATAAACCCTGACAAAACAGGGATATTGTAACTCACTCTTAAAGTAAAAGAATATTTAAGTCTCTCATATTTCCTCTATCATTAATATATGAGAACACGTGGTTTGTATTTAAGCCAAGAGAACAGATAGTTTGTCTGAACTTAATTAATAAAAAAAAAGGCTATACAACAATGCATTTTCACACTATGATCCCTCTTGCCTATAAAAATTGATGAAGCCTAATCCCAAAAATAACAATCAGGGTGAGTCCTTCCACTGTATTATTCACAGATCATTCTCAAAGTGCATTATTTGTCCTTTATGCTTCTTACTTGGCCATGTAGTTAGGTGTGCATCTAAAGGCAAGCACGAGCAGTTTCACAGATCATATCTAAATATAAGCAGGAACATTCCCACAAAAGTCAATGGTATGTCCTTACTGAACTGGAGTCTGAGGGAATCTATGGATTTCAAATTTATAATCTGCAAAACAGTTTTGTGAGATAGCTACAATGATGGTATATTGCAAATACAATTTCCATGCAAAGTAGCATGCATATTTAAAGTATGTTATCATGAGTTTTGGAAGTTCTTGAATGATGTATCTGTATACCATACATCAATCACATTTTAATCCACAACATCCAGCTCTTAATCTAAGTATAACACCTTCAACATAAGTTTTCTAGAATATCATATACGTTAAACAGACAGGACCACCAGAATCTTACACAGAATTATGCCAAAAGTCAACAAATACCCTTTGACAGAAATTTACAGTATAGGAAAAAATTAAGGTATTTAAAACAAGAAAAAATGAATTAATACGGTATTTAAGTCTCTTTTGTTTGGTTGTTGGATAGATTTTTTTGGTTATAACCTTTACTAATTGCTTATTCATACTGGTACTTATTGTAGTTCATAGATTTTAACAGCACTTATAGATAGGAGTGTATCATGGGTATTTATTTATCTAAAAAAATGCAGTAAAATTAAGTAGAAAAAATTCTGGAATTTGAAAATGTCACCATACCTTAAGTCAGAGTTCTGACAATTGATTTTAATTAACTGTCTTTTCCTTTAACACATATATCTATATAGATTAACATTCAGCTCTTTAGTTTCTTTAAAATTTTAGTTTTGTCAAGGCACAATTTTAGAAACTGCTAATATAGTTGTCCTAGTTTTTTTTATCACAAATTCTAATCCAGTATAAGTGTTAAGATCTTGATTTTTTACTCTGGTGGAAAATTCCAGTGAAATCCAGTGGAAAGTTGTGCTATATTTTTAAACTCTCCGATATTATGTGGTTCAGTTTACCACTTCTGTAATTAAAAAAGAATGAAGAACACAAAAAAAAAAAAAAAATAGGCATAACACGTTCTAATCTGCTAATGAGTCAAAAATTGTACACTATTCACAAAGCATTGAAGCAATAATTCTCAGCAAAGTCTTGCAGATCTTGGCTAAATGCAGATCCCCAGGAGTTCTCTTGTACTTCTCAAGGGGGAAGAATTTACTTATTCAATATAAAAAAGGTCAACTGTTCATATAGTTAAAAAGTTACAGGTATTACTAATCTGTTCAGTTTGTGTTGGGAAAATTTTTACCAATACCTCTATTCATTTTTGGGCTTCTGTCTAGTTTTGTCGAGATTGACATGATTTCTTTTTAGAACCTGAACGCATCTAAATCATGTGATGACTTATGACTTTTTTCCTCTCATTTGTTTTTACAGAAAAATAGAATGGATAAGATTTTTCCAGGAATGTGTGCTTTGGTATGCACTAGAGAAGGTAAAATACCCATCTTACACTAGGAATAGGAGTGAAGGCTCTTGCCTTGGTGTGTTCATAGCAGTGGTCCAATATAGTCAATTTGCCAGGCGTCACTATATTGGAAATCCAGCCAATACCCTCTATTCCAGGGAGATTTTAGTCACATGTTTCGCTTAATTGCCACACGTTTCACATTCATGAATAACCTGTGT